GCCAAGGTCGGCCAAATAAATATCCGAGTGCGAGGTACAAGCTAAACTCATTTCTCCTTTTCTAAGTTGGAATTCAGTATTGTAAGATCTGAGCAGTTTGCTTTTTCATTAAAAAAAAATAATTAAAAAGTGGTCGAAATTTTTCGTAACGAATCCCACTGGCACAATTAGCAGAAAAGCCTCCTCTGGAGCTTGGCTGCACAAATTTGTCAAACTGCTTTGATTTAAGTTTTCTAGTAGGAATTTATAACAATTTTCGTGAGCATAAAACTTGGGCCTTGGGTCCCGAATTCGGTAATCGTGTGTGTTTTTCCATTATTATGTAATGAAATGTGCAGCGGATTTAGCTTAATACCTCATTTTTAAAAATTTGAGTTTGTATCTTTCTCATTTTCAACAATAGCAGTCGCCAAATGAGAGGCTCAGACAACAATCAGAGTCTATCACGTAACGCAGGGGTTAATGGAGTTAGCTTTCACGTCTGTATTCGTACATAATGGCGATTGTTTCCAAACTACAGCTTCCTCGCTAGACACATACAGTGACTGGTATGATTTCGTCAAAATACTTTTTTCTCCCACTCTGTGGAAATGCCTAACAAAATTATTGCAGCATATAAAGATCAGAAAATCCCGGATACGGTGAAAACTTTGATGGGCGAGAAAGTGACTAAGCAGGGACAGAAATTCAAACCGCCGGTAATTTTCAAAATTTTTTCAAAAATTTTCAAATTTCTTGCACCAGAGCATGTGTACTTCGCCGCATAAAGAGAATGCGTACTATCAGAATGATACACCATTTGCTGTGGCCCGCGGTACCAAGACACTAGGTACCAAGACATTTCATGTCAAGTCTTCAACTCTGCTTCTTCTAATTAATCAACGCACACGCATTATTTCCCAGAGGGTCTCTTCATTGTTAATGATGTCGCTGTGAGTGTTGGTACTGATCTTTTCCTAATTCATAAGTTTCACTTTTGGATATTAGTTTAAACCAAAAAAAAAATCAGTGATATGTCAAAAATTTTTTATTCCCGATTAAAAAATTTGTATTGAACTACGGCTGAAAGAAAAAGTCATTTTGCAAACAATTTTATGAATTTTAAACGAAGCGAAAATAATTAACATTCACTTTTCATTTGTGCCTTCCACTTTATATTAATAAATGTGATTGGATTTATGCAATTTTCACTCTTTTCGCGTGTATATGGTATACACGGTAACTTCGCTTATGCTTACTTCCATCTGGTATTCAGAAGAATTCTCTCCCCAACCCCCCCTCCCCTCTTTGCCCTCACTCCCCATTTCCTGTATAAATTAGTGAATGAATTTAATGCTGTGTTAATGATGAGAAATGTGTAAGACTTAGTTAACAGAAAGATTCCTTTTCAGTAATTACCTTCCTTCCACTATTTACATTATTGCACTACACTTTATTTGGACCCTGTGATTAGTTTTACTTGACAGAGTAATCCTTCATTGATTTTTATTTTTATATTTGTCACAGTTTTTGTTTTGCCCCTTTACACTTTTGGACTCTTTGATCATGCGTTTTTGCAACATCTCGTGCTCTGATGAGATCGCTCGAAAACCCAGTTAGAACGTGTGATATACTGGTCATCGAAGTTCGGGAAGTTAACTGTCTACGCGGTACTTTGAGAAGGAACATTCCTTTAAAATTTCAGCTTTTTCATCTGTTATTATTACTGAAAAAAGAGTGTAACATCAAGGGTGCAATATCAATAGATATTGATGTTACGCTCTTAATGATATTCTAGCAGTGAACTTTTTCGACTGTCCTTGTTTTCTGCGATTAGCTGCTGCGTTCATGCGGTATGCATATCGCAGTTTAATTCAATTTTGCCACTGACTTTTACAAATTTGTATTCATGACTCGTCATTACGAGCATCATCTGAACTTCGATTTTAGGATATAGTTTGTTCCTTTAAAATATTAAGGGCTCACCTGCATACAAAAACCGGTGATTTTGAATTTTTATCCTATCCTATGCTAGAAAAAAACACCAAATTTAGATCTATAGCCAAGAATCATGGCTATAGATTTAAAAACTGGTTCCAGAACTTGTGTTAAAAATGAAACCTAAAAAGTTGTAGAAATCTGATGTTTTCATTTTCCATTTTCATCATATTAACTTGTCTATGAGACTGTGGTCGCAGGGTTGAACACAGAAAAATCTGAAGTAGTTCTTCATTGATTTGTAACTCTACACGTAGCCCAGGCCCATGTTCCCAAATTTCAGCTCTACGAATTTCCTAATTTATGAGTTAAACTAGTCAGAAACACACGCACATGCACGCACAAGCAGTAGCGCAATTTGCAACAAATCGGTTTGGCCAAGAAAAACATAGCGGCCGATACATGCGTTCTACAGCACGCCCATTGGCTTCGTTTTCAGTTTCTTCCCTCAGTTTCTCCCTCTTAAAGTACATTGATAGCATTTCTGCTGAAAAACTGAATATTTATCTCAATTGAAGGAGAAATATGACGATGAGAAAATTGAGCGAGAAATTGAAGAATTATTCAAAAAAAGGGATGCGCCAGCATTGCCGCAGCTTGTGCTGGAAACCACCGACGCTGCTGCGGAGGATGAAGATGATGAAGGTAAGAGCCCTTACCATACTAATATCGTCTTCGCGCATTTAGATTTTTCTCGCAGTAATAGTAATGCAACCGAAAATTTGAAAAGATTGCTCTAGAAAGACTCAAAGAGGTTGAAGCAACAAAGAATTGTTTTTGTACACCCTATTTTGAAAGTTGGAAATCACTATGTGCAGAACCCGCACCGACGGAAACCTTTAGATCCATAACCTCCGGTCTGCAGGTGTTGTGCTTTGAAAATGAGAGTCAGACCCGTGCTTCCTTCATTCTCCTTTGCTGTGTTAGTTTTTCCGATATGTAACAAATTTCACCCACTATCGTGATTCTAAAGAAT